TTGTTTATTTTTAACCAATCTCAGGGGCAGTTCGTGTCCAGGACTCTTCAACCAGCTCTTCAGTCTGACTTTGATACAAAGCCAGCCTCCGGCAGGAAATCCATTCCAGTGCTGTGAACGCGCAAAGGCCTTTGTGGATCACGGGCCGCCGCGTCGCCGTCACATCACAGCCCACTCGGGACACAGTGCTGGCGAGTGTCAGGCTCACGGAGCCGCGCCTCCGGCAGGTCCCAAAGGAAAGACAGTCCAGGGAGACGGAGGTCGTGAGGAGGACTCTAGATGCTTGTCGGCCCTTGGGCATCCTGTGAGCACGCAGGCTGGTGAGAACCGTTATCCGGGTGGGAAGAGCCGGCAGGAGCAGGAGGATTTACCATCCCTCTGGAGAGGTCGCCTCGGTTTTCCTAAAGAACATCCCAAACCCAGCAGTCTTCCTTCAAACGCCCTTCCCCGGGAAACCATTCGTGACTCTGCCCAGAAACACGCAGGGGAGGCGTGCGAGAAAGACTTTCAATCCTCCCGACGTGTCCGCGAACATGTGCACACCCTGGAGGGAGAGGCGGGTTGTAAACGTAAGAAAGAAGCGGGAGTGTTTTCCCCGGCGTCAAAACCCGCTACAGGTAATGCCCGTGGTGGCGAGAAGACTTCTGCACGTGAGCAACATGGGGAAGCTTTTACTCCTCCGTCCAAGCTGACGCGGGATCGGCTGGCACACACGAAGCAGAGGCCTTATAAATGTCAGCAGTGTGGCAAAGCCTTCGCCCGGGCCTCGACACTCGTCACCCACAGCAGAATTCACAGCGGGGAGAGGCCCTACCAGTGTCAGGATTGCAGGGGATCTTTCCGGTGCCCTTCCCATCTGAGAAGCCATCGTGCGGGGAAACTGCACGCCTGTACAGACTGCGGGAAAGCCTTCGTCTCCCGGTCGTCTCTCGCTCTGCACACCGCCACCCACACGGGAGAGAGGCCTTACCGGTGCGAGACCTGCGGCAAAGCGTTCACTCAGTCCACAAACCTCGTCATCCACAGGAGGATCCACACCGGGGAGAAGCCGTACACGTGTGCAGTGTGCGGGCGATCCTTCCGGTGCTCCTCCCATCTCACGACCCACGCACAGACCCACAGCGGGCAGAAGCCGTACGTGTGCCAGGAATGCGGCAAAACCTTCAGTCAGGCGACGTACCTCGTGCTGCACGGACGCATCCACAGCGGAGTGAGGCCTTACGCCTGCACCGAGTGCGGCAAGGCCTTTTCCCGCATGTCGTCCCTGGGGTTACATAAAAGCGTCCACAGCGGAGAGAAGCCTTTCGCGTGCAAGGAATGTGGCAAAACCTTCAGCCGCCCCGCAGCCCTCAGCGTACACAGTAACACGCACCGTCGGGACAGGCCGTTCGAGTGCAAGGAGTGCGGGAAAACCTTCGGCTATTCCTCCTCCCTCACCACGCACATGCGCATCCACACCGGGGAGAAGCGGTACAAATGCGAGCACTGCGGCATGGCGTTCGCGCAGTCTTCGACCTGGAACCGGCACAGAAGAACGCACACGGGGGAGAAGCCTTACGCCTGCCAGGAATGTGGGAGAACCTTCCACTGCTCCTCGTATCTCTCCAGGCACCGCCAGGCTCACAGTGGGCGGAAGCCGTACACGTGCGAGGAATGTGGGAAACTCTTCAGTCAGGTTGGCTCCCTCAAGGACCACCGCCGGATTCACAGCGGGCTGAAGCCTTGTGTGTGTCCCGAGTGCGGGAAGGCCTTCCGGCAGCCACAGGCCCTCAGGAGACACAGGAAAATCCACACCGGGGAGAAGCCTTTCGA